GACACATTTAGCGCTGTCGGAAATTTGGAGGGTGCTGGCTAACAGAAAGCCAGATAGTTAACTTAGAGTAGATGAACTCTATAGTACTTTTAGGTAGCGATACCCCTGAAAGGACGGGAGCGAATTGCATGCCAAACATTCGTAGAATGCAGCTCAAGGTGTTCAGAAGACTCTGCTCTCTTTTGTCAGCATCTTCACCTAGGAGGGAGGACTATATCGTCTGCATATTTTACGTCAACCAGATTATCCCCTGATGGTAACAAGTCGATCCCTGAGTCTCTGAAATCAGTTAGGGATAACTCCATTAGTACATCCATGATGAAATTGAATAGAAATCAGGACAGTGGGCATCCCTAACGGATACCACTAGTTGTCACCACTTCAGATGACAACTCGCTGTAGGCTCTTACCTGACTGCATGAGTTCGAGTAGAGCGCCTTGATCAGTGGGCGATATATTTTCTCGTCATTCCCTTTACAGACAAGCATCGCCAGAGTACCTCTCGGTCGATGGAAAGGTATGCCGCCGTTAGGTCAAGAAATATGACGATTGTTGGACGCCGGTAAGTATTTCGACACCACAATAAGACGTAGTTTATCTGAAACGTGTAATGTATTGGCGCAACACATTTCGGACCTTGACCTGTATACAATCAGATCTGTATTGCAATTATTCATGCCTTCTTGCATTATATAAAAACTGTGTATGACAAGTACGTGTGTGATCAGAATGTCCGAAATGTGTTGCGCCAATACATTACACGTTTCAGATAAACTACGTCTTCTTATTGTGTTGTCGAAATTCATAAAGGGAACTAATTGCCGGTAAGTATGCCTATGTTCCAGAATCTGTCGAAGGGTGAAGATATGATCAGAACACCCTCTTCCCGGTATAAAGCCTGCCTGGTTCTCTTGTGTTTGTTCCTCTCGAACACTACTTGGTCTACGCATGATTATTGAGCCTAGAACTTTAGATACCATATTAGTCAAGCTAATCCCCCTGTGATTATCACAGGAAGACTTATCTGCCTTCTTGTATATCGGGATAATCAATGACTTACGCCAAGTCGACGGGACTTCTTCCGATTCCCAGACACCGCCTACTACCTTAGTCAACGCAGAAAGTAAACTGTCTCCACCGTACTTAAATACCTCTGGAGTTATTCCATCGGGTCCTGCTGCTTACTTTGCCTCGTTTCAAACTTATTCGGCATAAATTTTATGTGATGAGAAAAGTGTTAGGCATGGTGCTACCAGTTTACTGAGAAACACACTGAGTAAACGGCCCTTCTTATTCTTTCTTTCATTAATATACTGTCGTCAATTATTTCCACTTGATCTTAACTTTACATTTATATTCCTATTGATATGATTATCAATGTAAATGCCCTCATAGGTATTTCTTCCTTAACATGTAATATAAAGGGGAAATTAGGTGCAATATAGTATTCTATGCTGAGATTTGCACACTGTATTGAAAGTACTGTTTCGAATAAAGCCATTATTATTATTGTTATTATTATTATTACTATTATTATTATTATTATTATTATTATTATTATCATTATTCAAGAATGGATCCACATTTCGAATTTTTATTTGTACTCTTACATTTTTGTTGTTGTATGATTTCAGTTATATCGTCTTACTGTGCAAACCTGTCTAATTGGTTTATCACAACTGCAGTTACGTCGTCTTCAAAAATTTCCGCCAAATGACATTACTGAACATGTGAAAACACTATGGTCTTATGTGATTCTCTTAAGCGGATTGAGTAAAAAAACTTCGAAACAATCTAATTCTGCATTGAATGATGAAGCAAATGGTTGTGTATCGGCGCATAATTCAATGCCTTCTTCTGACAGTGATTCATATCAGTCAGTGTCACCATTAGGTGGTGATTCATCATCGTCTGACTGTGAGGGATTTATAAAAAGGTAAGATAGAACATGCATTGTATTATTATTATTGTTCTCTTGGGTTCCTAGTGGAACAAAGGGCTTCAACTGCACGTATCCCCTTGCTTCTGTCTTCTGCTGTACTTTTCACTTGCATCCATGTTAGTCCATACAGTTTCAACTCCTCTTCACACGATCTCCTCCATGTCACCCTTGGACGTCCCACTCGCCGCCTCCCTTTCAAGTTCCACTGGAGCAATGGCCTGACGCGCGATGTCACCCAGCGTCCTCCTCAGCGAGAGTGTCCAATCCATCTCCACTTCCTCCTGAATATTTGTTGAGCGATTGGTTCTTGTTTTGTTGGTTCCCATAGTTTCTTGTTGGTGATTCTTTCCGGCGGCCATCTGATCTTCAGTATAGAGCCAGTGAAGACACTTGTTGATAAAGGTCTGCAACAGGCTGTTGGAAATATTCTTTGTAACCCGCCAAGTTTCTGATCCGTACATATAGAAGAACTGACTTGACGTTTGTATCGAAAATCCGAATTTTTTTTTTTGATGCAGAGTGACGAAGATTTCCAGGTTGGTTTCAGGTTGATGATTGTGTTTTTCGCCTTCCCGATTCTCGATTTGACATCCTCGTCCGTTCCTCCTGTAGTTGAGACAATGCTCCCTAGATAAGTGAGTGAAGTAACCTCTTTCAAATCCCTCCCGTTGATGGTGATTGGCGCTGGATGTTGCTGCTGCTGTTGTTGTTGTTGGTTGGTTATTTTCATAACCTGCGTCTTGTCTATGTTCACCTGGAGTCCTGTCTTTGCTGCCGGTCTTTTCAACCAGTTTGTCGGTTTTCGCTTGTAAGTCTTCGATTTTGTGTGACATCAAACATAAATCATCCACGCGCGAAATCCAGGTCTTCTAGGTTCCTCACGTCGGTCCAGGATATCCCTGTCTCCTCGTTTCCCACTGTCTGACGCATAATCCAGTCCACCACAATTAGGAATATCATTGGTGATAATAAACACCCTTGTCTGACTCCTGTGTTTTCTCCAAACGCCTCGCTGAGTTTTCCGTTGTGGATTACTTGACATGTGCCGTTGTCGTACAGCTGTTGAATAAGGTTGACGAATATTTGGGGTACGCCGTAGTACTCGAGTAGTAGTTTCCAAATTACTTCGCGGTCAATGCCGCGCTGTCGAAGGCCTTCTCAAAGTCTATAAAGTTGAGGTAGAGGTTTGATTGCCATTCCATGCTTTGTTCGATGATGATGCGTAGAGTTGCATTGAATATATACATATTTGAATTTCCTGCATAACCATCGCACTACTTTTTATAGGTTGCCTCCTATCCTATAGTCATCCGAAATCAGATCTAATAGCTTCTTTCCAATCAATATAAGCTTGAGATCACTTGTCTTTTTCTTCTATGTTCCTAGTGCAATATATAACTTCAAGCTTGAGTTTTTAGGTGTCAGTAGCAGTGGTGTTTCTTGTCACTGGGCAGGGCTGCTAGTCCCACGCCTAACCTTTCCTCTTTACCCATCTTACCACCAGCTAAGAGAAGTTCAGTAGTGCGTCGGCCAGGAATCGAACGCCGGACCATGTGAGTGTTTGGCAAATATTCTGTGACTGAACCACTGAACCTTGAATTCAGGAAGCATTGTATACTTGTTGACTGATTGATCTCTCGAGGTAATTAGTACAATATGATGAGTAGTATTGACTTTTGGCGCCGTGTTAGGTAAGCAGAGTGAGTTAATCAATGAAGTTGTTAAGCTTCATCGATTGAGATGGCTAGGACACGTGCTACACATATTCGGAGCCATTGTCTTCCTCAACGGGTAATATTAACTGATGATATAGGATTAGGTTGGAAAAGAGCAACAAGACGCGGTCAAACTGAAACCTGGTACAACTAGTTCATGAAGTCTTTGATTATAGTTTGAATGGGACACTTAGAATGCCTGGTTGATATCCACGAGACGCTAAGAACCAATGGGTGGACACTGTTGGTTGATATAGCTAAAAAATCGTTCTCAGTAGTGCACGTGAAGTCATTCTTCGTGAACTCCCAACTGACAGGCAATGAAACATCTATTGAATAAGACTTTCGGATAATGTCATGAATCAATTTGTATGAGGATGTATAAGAAAACGTGAAAATAATAAATTTCTAGCGTTCAAAATTAATATCCAATCGGAGATAATGGACATATATATATATATATATATATATATATATATATATATAATACTAAAAACAGTAGTCATGATATTAGATAGTTGGAGGCAATTGGTAGGAAGCCATTGACCTAGGTTTCGTGCTAGTTGGCACTCGTCAACAAGGCGTATCTGCAACCTTGAAGGAACTCATGTCCCTTCTGAGATTCGAACCCGCGTCACTCAGTGTTGCATGCAGTCAGAAACGTTACCACTAAGCTATTCGGACTCGCGATTGACCTCCTGTAGGACTGTAGTGGGTATTTCGATTGGATAGAATTCAGTCTGCACCAAAGAAAGGACTAGACACGTCGCACTAGTTACTACTGTCCTACAGGAGGTCAATCGCGAGCCCCAATAGCTCAGTGGTAACGCTTCTGACTGCAGGCAGCACTGGGTAAAGTGGGTTCCAATCAAAGAAGGGACATGAGTTCTTTCAAGGTTGCAGACACGCCTTGTTGACGAGTGCCAACTAGCACGAAACCTAGGTCAATGGCTTCCTGCCGATTGCCTCCAACTATCTAATATCATCAAATGAATGTGCACCGTGATGGTGAGCTACCTACAATGGTGGCCACACTTCACCAAAAAAACAAAGGACTAGCCACATCACACTAGTTACTGACCAGTGTCCAAACAAAATACAGTAGTGGTAAATTAGTCAAGAAAATTCTGTTTCGTGAAATACACTGTTCACCAGTAAACAGAATTTCTATTTACTATTTTTTATTTTATAAGGGATATGAAACCATCAGCAATTATTCATAACGATTCATTGGATTCAGCTTTAATAACAACACAAAATATCGCCAATTGTTTACTGCACAACAACAACAACAACAACAGCAGCAGCAGCAACAGCAACAACTGTCGACATCCAGCTGTTCCTTCCTCGACAACAACATTATCGTTATCACCGTCGTCACCACAGTCAGTATCATTTGAAAAATTGTCTACGCCACATCAATTTCAAAGGAGTAGTTATAAGAACACTTCTTCAAAAAAGTATGCGTCGTTTATATCTGAAAAACGATCAACTGTCTCTCCTTCTAATGCGTACAAAAGTCATGTAAGTTTACTGCCGCCTTTAGTCAGTGTGTCTTCTTTTCCCTGATCATCATTGCTGGTATACAATGAGAAGAGTATTTTGCGATCTGTGTGATAGTAAACTATAACTGCACGTTTTCGTTAAGTTTATCCGACATAACATGATTAATAGAATATTATTAATAGATGAGTAACATTTATGCGCAATTTATAATAATAATAATAATTTGCTTTATTCCAAAACAGTACTTGTGATACAGAATGGAATTCTCAGCATTTCACTACAGTATTGCATCCAGTTAGTACATTATCAATAAATAGAATTCTACACAGATTATGGGTAATCTCAGTTTATTATGACAACAACACACTGGCATGTCGGTAGCAAAGCCAAAAGTGAACAGAATATTTGAATGTGTTAGAAAAGTAGATGCTAGCATATTTACTGGAGTAAGCGGTAACAAAAAGGTCGAGATATACAGAGTGTGAAAGGACGAATAAGAATGTTTTAAGTAAAGTTTGTAAGGAAGAGAGAAACAAAACAGCACAGCACAAAAAAGAGAAAAGGAAAAGAAAGAAAGAAAACGTTGTACCTATAGATGATATGAGTTGGAAAGACAAGATCCAGTTGTACTACTGACTATTTAATGAATTATAGGTGTCACGCCTAATGCTTTCTTTATCACACAGAACACGAGCTAAGCATGGTATGGTTGAGTTTTGTACTTGCTAGTGCGAGCATATAGTTTTCTATATCGGCCTCTGGTTTTGCCTGATGAGATACAAGGGGAGAGTTGTGAATAAAGAGGGTGGTGTGAGTTAGATAAAATGGATTTAGCCCATTTTTCACATGAGTCCATGTGCCTGTCGACCAGAATATTAACAAGCTGGTTAAGTGGCACGTTGGTTACCCTGCTGACAAACCTTAACATCCTGCCTAATAAGGTATAGTCTTTCTTCAGTAGCCCTGGAAAAACTAGGGGGGAACAATAGAGAATAACAGGCAGGATGCAAGAGTTAACGAATTGTAGGAGTAAGGGTTGGGTTATACCAGAATGTTTTAACTTCTTGATTTAGAAGGTAAGACGGAATATTTTCTTAGAAATCGCCAAGATATGAGACGACCAGGAGAGATCAGCAGATAGAATGACGCCTAGGTATTTGATTTCCGACTTGGTTTCTGTTTCAGTGCCATCTATGTTGCACACTTCGTGAGAGCTAACCAGTTTGTTTAAGTCAGATTTATGCCTAAAGATGAAATTGACTGTTTGGCATTCGGAGGGGTTTAAAGTAAAACCGTTTTCCTTGGACCACCGGCTGATTTCTGATAAAAAGCCATTTAGTTTGGAGCAATCACTTTGACATTTGACAGGTAAAGATACAGTCAGGTCGTCAGCATATTTAACAAAATTAATGTCATTTGAAGATAGTAAGTCATGTTAGCTTGTTAGGAAACCAGTAGATTGTACTCGAAACTTTATTCAGTTTTTAATACTGTCTCTTTATTATACCATTTATTTCAAATGAACTTACCTAATATGGGATCATCAGCATTCTCGTTTACATTTTATATCTTATGTTTTCTGGTTTATCATAGTGGAATAAGGAATAATTTCTATCTTATTTGTCACATTAGTAATGTACGTATCTGGAACTAATGACTTTGTAAATACATTTCGTGATGTTCGATGGTTGGAGGCAATCGGCAACAAGCCATTGACGTAGGTTTCGTGCTTGTTGTCACTCGTCAAAGAAGCAAACAATTTAAGGAACTCATGTCCCCTCTGATATTCGAACCGACCACATCGAGTGCTGCAGTCAGAGACGTTACCATTAAGCTATTCAAACTTGCGACTGACCTCCTGTAGGACTGTACTGGATACTTTGATTGGTCACTAGGGAGTCAATGGCGGCAGTGTAAGCCACAGCTTCTTCAGCAGATTTATTCGAATGTTTATTAATCATCAAAATATATTGTCAAATTTTTTTTACATAAATTGAAGTCAGTTTATTTGAAGGTCACTTGGCGGCAGACATTTGTACCGAAAAAGCTACTACAGAAAATTGAGGAATCTTGGCTATCGACTATAGCCATTTCATATCGAAAGGACACAGCTGAACAACTTCAAAGACTATTTGCTTCATATAATATTAAAGTCTATTTCAAGACATTTGTAAAAAATTATATTTGTAAAGTCTCAGCGAGATTGAAATGAGTAATTCCAACGTTTCGTTCGGCAATCTGGTCCGAACTTCTTCAGGGAAATTAATCGAAATGAACATAACAAAGGTTTATATATAAAAAGGAACATTACTTGTTTTTAAAAATTTGTCCAATCATAAGTCATTCAAAAAGTATCAACAAGTATAGTAAACAAAATTTTATGAGATGTGATCAAAATTTGACCTCGGACTTACAAATATTGGTCTACCTTTGTTAAACACTTTAAACAGAGTGTGTATGTGTGTGTGGGTGAACAGTTGTAAAACATTTGTTAACGTCTCCATAAGAAGATATGGACAGTTGAGAATTTTGACCAAGTATTAATAATTAGTGATAAATATCCATTTTTATTTATTAGTACGGATTTCCTATGCATCAGCTAACATCACGCCTTCATGTCTGTTCAAACTGTTAGTATCTAGAATTTTATGATTAGACGTATTTTCAAAATTATGGTGTTTAGGATTAGAGTTTAGTAGAAGCACCCTGTCGGACTTATTGCTTTGCCTTCTTTCTGAAGATTGAGCTGCTTTATTCGACCTACTGGAGTTGTCAGGTGACTCGACAGCTACGGATTCAGGATATGCATTCTGTTGCAGACAACGGAGAGTGAAAACACGATGATTGTGCCAGTTACACAGTTTCTTTGTTAATGTAATTCGATTGCAAAATAATTCAAATGAACTATCGTCAAGATTTGACAGAATAGTTCTAAAATATTTGGGCGCTGAGTGAGAAGTAGACATTTGTAAAAAATTATATTTGTAAAGTCTCAGCGAGATTGAAATGAGTAATTCCAACGTTTCGTTCGGCAATCTGGTCCGAACTTCTTCAAGCCTTTAATTCTCTGGAGAAAACTTTGGTGAATGTCAAAGATATGGTTGCCGAAACTATTGAAAAATATACACAACAACAATTTGTCATTAGTCATTACAAATATATGATTGATGACTGCTTACATATTTTTATTGGTACAAATGTCCATGGAAAAATGACCTTCAAAGAAACTGACTTCAATTTATGTAAAACAATTTTTGACTATATATATTTTGATGATTAATAAAAATCCGAATAAATTTGCTGAAGAAGCTGTGATGGCGTACACAGCGAAACGTTCAGAAAACAGATATTGTTTTGATTTCCTCTTAAACACACTGGGATTAATTTAAATAATTTATAATGAATCAATCTGACTCGGCGATCAAATTATTCCAGGAAGTCCGTAACACCTACGGTCTGGAAACTTATAATCTTATGATTACGCTGCTTACTATATCAATCCAACTTTTATAGGAATTGGAGCGTTTACATAAAGAGCACTGCGTCTAATAAAAATGCCTTGTTTCGATGTATACCACCTTTTCAAAAATGTTTTCTGCCTTAGCCTCATGTGCGTCGGTGGCACAGTGGTTAGGAATCTCGCTGACCATGCACATGGTCCGGGGTTCGATCCCCTGCCGACGCACACCTGATATCTACGGTCGGCCTGCAAACTTTGGGATGCCGATATCACATGCTGAAAATTCCACACCTGTACAAAAAATACGGTGTGGATCAAGCTGTAATCAAAAAAATTTTTTGTGATCTCTTTGAAGTTCAAGAGTACTGGATCGCTGTTTCGTTTTGGTCTTGTACTGTTCATCAGTATTACCCCCCTTAATCGCACTGAGAGTAGAACCCAGCACCTACACGTTATAAGGCCAACAGCTTGACCATACAGTGACTGAGATGCTACAATCCGATGACTCATGAATTCTGACTTCTGTCCGTTCGCGATTATTTCTTTTTTCTGACATCTTAAACACGAATGCAATTTCTAGGCTTAAAATAAATAAAAGCTAATTTTCATTACTGATGTCTGTTAATATTTCTTATACAAATGCAAAGAGTGTGTGTGTGTGGACAATTCTCCACTGAAGTTTATTACCTGGTTATTGCAAAATATGTTATTATTATTTCTCTTATATATGATTTGTATTTCTAGTCTAAATGCTATCTACTGGCTATATTCTGCCTTAAACATATGCTGGAAATGTATGGACCCCAAGTTATCATAAATTGTTGGCCTATACTTATGAATAGTGATTGCCTGCAGACAACAGCTTCTGAAGACAAATCCTTCAATTGGACTGCATCACATGGGATCTCAAAACCTGATATGCTTAACTTGTATTTTAAAACGAATGATGTAAGAATTAAACAGGTTAGTGACAAAAATTTTGAAGTCATATATATAAATAGTTACCGTATGTGAGGCATTTCACTAGAAGTCCAGGGGTGATCAGATTCAAACGACTGCGTGTAAGCTCTCATCTCCCCCTCAAATGATCTCTCTACCTCGTGTTATCCTCAGGCGTCCAACTCGTCACTTCTCATTCTGGGTCCAGTCGAAAGTCTACCTGGTGAGAGTGATTTCACTTCAACGTTCTCAGTGTGTGCCCAACCGATCTCCATTTCCTTCGATACTGCTATTTATGCGTGTTGAATTTAAAGGTGATACCGCAGCTGAGATCTTAAAGAATCGCTTATGCAGATCACTGAGGAAAGCCTTCTTTATGGCTGAGCTACGTATCAACTTCTACAGCCGAAAAATGATCAACGGATGTATGAAGGATAAACTGCCGCTTTGGGCCACCTCAATGTGTGTTTATAAATTCACCTGCTCCTGTGGACCTAGTTATATTGGCCGCACAAAGCGCACGCTTTTCAAACGCATCTCTGAACATTATCCGGCATAGTTAGCAAAGGGACAGTGCAAGACAATTACTAGCTCAATTCTCGAGCATTTGGTGAACTCACTGCACCTAGCTCCACCGGAGTCATCTTTCAAGATCATCTACAAAGTGAAGCCAAATGGTACAAAGGGCGTCAGGTTTCGGCTTTTGTGTATGGCGGAGGCGCTGGCAATTCATCAATACAACCCTGAACTCTGTATACAGAAAAAGTTTGTCCAGTCTCTTATTCTACCTTGGTCTTAACCTTCTCACTAATCGTTCCCTGTAAAAATATTTTAACTTTTTTCTTCTTTTTTGTAATTTTTAATCTTACTTTTAGTTTGCTTTTGCTTTAATAATTAATTCACTATTATCACTCTCATATGCTCCTTTTGTATATTTTCACACCCTCTTCACACTTGTTAAATTGACACTCAACTACCTTTATTCTGACTCAATAGCAATTTTAACCTTATCAAATTTCTATCTTTGTTCCGTTGAGTACCACGTAATTTACAACTTTTAATTTTCACTTCTAAAGCCACTTCTGAGTAATTATATCAATTATGTCACCTCCTATTACTCAATAATAGACCGCTATATATTTTTGTAAGTATAAATACGACTGTACAGCCTCTGAAGATGATTTCGTCGATAAAGAAAATTTTCTTCGCTGAATCTGTTTTTTATTTTCTTCATGACTCAATGGGTATTTTCGGTTTCTTCGATTTATTCCTTGAGTAATAGGTACACTTGGGTGACTGGTTGCCAGAACTCCTTGTCGCTAATCTTTTCTGGCTGGTCATCCGATCTTCGATATGAACTGAAGGGAGCAGCCGTTGATAAAAGTCTACAGCAGGCTATATCTAGAATCAAATAAACCTACATAAAACTCACTTCTATTTTAGTTGCTTTTCAAATTATCTTACTAAACCTCATTCCGTTATTTTCTTTTTCTTGTCATGTTTATTTTTTGTATGTGTGCTTATCTTTGTGTATTTCTGATTTGTGTTTACTCTAGTTTTACCTTTTGTTCCTATGGTGCATTTAATAACTTAAAGTGATGCAGTTATGTGAAAGATTAAATATCTGTCGAGAACTTGAGCGTAATACTGCCCTCATAAACGACCTGGTACTACGGTCAAGGGTCCTCTGGAAATGCCCTTCTACGGGACCACACTTGCATAGCCTCTACCTCTGTATTCACGCTTTTGGGGTGCTCCTCAATAAAATGAGAGGATGAGGGCGAAAGTCTGGCTCTTACAACCGGACTTCTCAACATACAGGTCTATCAAGCCAACGCTGTACGTTGGCTCCAGAATCCGAAAGTAGAGAATGGCGTACGAACCTGATTTGGTCATCGAAAATCATGGGAACGCAGCTCTTGACTCTACTACACTGCTTCGTCAGTTAGGCTTCAAGTCAAAGGTTGGGGGCAGGGGTGATGGCCCCTTAAGACATCCACATGTTTCAATCTGGATGTCCGACCAGTAGTATCCAAGCCCTTGCGCAGACTATGAGACTTTGTGTGCTGCATCTCCTGGTGCTCTTAATGTACGAATTGCGTCTTAATAATAGTAATAATGATTGTTATGTATATACCGACTTTGTTTCTTTTACAGATATTACTAGAAATACTTGTTCATCTGCTGTCGCATGTTAATAAACGTTTTGCTGTCGCTGAAGATCTCACTCCTTATTCTGCTTCATTTATACCATATTCTGTTAAATTGGCTATGGAGTTACGTCATTTACATCGTCGTCTAGTGTTAGCATTATCTGTTGAAAAAACATATGCATTCCAGGTAACGTTGAAAATCTTTTTTCTTGTTTTTTTTTCTCTTTTATCTAACCGAGTAGAAATATTATTTTGTTAAATCTACTTGCAGGTACCTGAAATCGTATTTGATATTTTGCTAGAGATTTGGTATTGTTTACCTCATCGGTTGTTTTATTCACTCCTCTGCAGAAGATAGGAGAAATCTGCTGACAGTATAATGAAATATTTTTTTTTGCGTCAAGTTTCTTTAACACCGTTTGAATTGAAAATTCTGGCTGGTTGTAGATTTATTCCTTTTTAGTTGAGAATGTCTAACTTATCACATCTGGTACTTTTGTCTTTAGGTCGGGTGGCCAAGTTAAACTTTAAGCACCACTAACCACTACCAATGGAGTGCGACCGCACCTATGACCTTGAAACGTTGTTGTTACAGTAGTAGCAGCAGTATCAAGCAGGTCACTTAGCCAACTGAATATACATTGAATTCCAGAAAGGATTTCTCTAAGGGCATTTTATTCTAGACTTTGTAAATTTTATGCAAGTGAAATAATCTACATGTGTTTTGTTCATTAACTTTTTCAACAACAAAAAAACAAACAAAACAAACTTGTAGGCTTTACTACTCAAAGCATTGGGTGCTCTTGTTCTGATAACACCATATCAACGTCTTCAACCTGGCCTTTTAACATCATTACTCCCAATGATCAATCATCTACTACAACCAGTAAAGCTGAATGTAAGTCGGCCAGCTGATATCCGATCTGGATGCTTGTCATTGTTAGGCAACATACTGGGCAAGGTGAATGGACCTTTGATTGAGGTGAGTACAAATCTTTTTGATCGGATACACTTTCCAGTAATGATTATATAATGATACTTTATTATTATTATTGCCGGTTGCTGTCGCTGCTGACTGTGAAATCCCACCAATTGACAACATGTGTCTATCGCCTACATTTGTTTCATTTTCCATTGTTTTTGTTACATTGTTGATACAATGTCTTCTAACTGAAAAGTCAATCCAAATCATCTGTATAGAACAAGTTAATTGCACTGTTGATATAAGAATAAAACTTGTGTGTTTTGTGGTGGTAGAGTATAATTCCTTTATGCGTAAAATTTATTTTGATAAAGTCTCACAGCGTTATACAGTGAGTAATATTTACTGATGACCACGTTTCGAGCACAATTTATTACTGTTCAGAATCCTATCATATCATCTAACTATAGATCTTGAACTAACTCATAGGACGAAGCTGCCGATTGAGGAAATTATTTTAAGAATTCAGTTATGCCTCACATCTACTGTCTTTAAATTCCAAGGCAAAATCTATAGATACACGGACGGTGTAGCAATGAGATCACCAATATCCCCTATCGTAGTAGATATATTTATGGGCAGCTGGGAAAATATTGCTCTTAATACATTTAATCCTATTCCAAAAATATGTTGGAGGTATGTGGATGAAATTTGCACAGTGTTAAAAACAGAATATATCTCTGTCTAGCTTCTTGACATACATAAACTCACTTGTAGAGGGAATAAAATTCACATATGCATCGGAATATCAACAAGGAGAATTGACTATGAGGTTAGATTGTAAAATAAAACCAGTTGAAAAAGGTAAACTGCACGCTAGCGTTCATGAAAAGCCAACACATTCCAATAGATATTTAGACTTTAATTCGTGGCAAATGAGTTGAGTAATAATAATGAAAGGTGGATAAAATGACGAATGACTAATAAGTTGAACAACAGCATGTTGATTTCGACTCAAAATATAGAAACAAGAGACAATTAAAACTAAATTATAGCGAAGTTGAGAGTTGCTAAAGCCAAAGATTGCTTAATCAAATAGTAAAAACATCCAGTTACCAAAGGGTCCAGAAAGACTGACAATTTCTTCTTTTTGAACACATAAGTGCAATTTCAGGCGTTCGACAGCAATTTTTTCGGCACACTTGAGCAGCAATGAACTGTTTTGTTTATTTTCTTTAATTGGTTTGTTTTCTACGAGTTGATCACGGATTGAAATCAGTTAGAGAACCATTTGAAACCAGCACTGGAGTACTGGGCAGCTGTTGGGGTCGCGCTAAATGACGAATTGGTGGAAGTTAGAATTCATGAGCCATTGAATCGGATCTCAGTGGCTGAATGGTGTACGAGCTAGCTTGCCTTGTAACTGGAAGGTTCTGGCTTCGAACCCAAGTGGGTGCGTACTGCCGGTGATTCCCAAGAGACTAGGATGAAACCGCTGACCAGTACTCCCTGCTGGTTTTCACTGGTTCTCTAACTGATATTTTGTTTATTGTTAATTTTAAAGGAGGTAAAAGGATTTCATTATGTCCACTCAGCATTTGTATAGATGAGATACCTAGTAGTGGCACTATTGTAAGTGTCTGCTCCTTTGAGACCTGTGGTTTTTGGTACCTGTACAGAAAGTTGACGATGGTCTGTTTTTCTGTTCTCCCAGTGTAAATGCTGTCACAGATGCATGTAGATTTGCACACAGAGGGTTAATATGGAAAGGGAATCTGCTGACCTTTAATTACACTAAATAGCGTGTTATTCGATTAACTATTTGATGAATTGTTCCGTTTATTTATCCATTTCTTTCATTGATTTCTTGTCAATAGGTCTTCCAGATTTTATCGCCTGCACTGGATTTCCCATACGACAATACTGTTAGCCCAAGGAATAACTTAATGAAACCAACAAATTTATCTCCAACAAATAATTCAAGAAGTTCCTACTCGTATTTCAGCCACACATCTACGCCTTGTTGGCTTGTTCAAGTAAGCAATCAGTTTTTTATGCATAATTTTTTTTCAGAGCGAACAATTGTTTTCAATAAATTCTTCTTCAGGCTCTACAATTATGCATAATTTCTTTTGTCCCACAGGGAATCAAGCAGCGAAGCCTTGTGAGAGTTGCACTAAGTTAGTCTGGGAAAGAAGCTTGGTTGTATAGTTTAGAATGGAATGGTATCACTGACTTCACATTGAAGTTGAAAATCCGGATCTTATCTTTCATGCTGAGCAGTGCTGTTGACCTCCACACAAACTTGAGAGTAATGTAAGCTTATCTTGCTTTCTCGATCCTTGCTTTGATATCCTCGCCAGTTCCGTTCGCCTGTAGTTGAGATGATGCTTCCCAGGTAGGTCGGTAGGTAAAGGAGGTTGTTTCTTTCAGGTTCCTCCCATTTATGCTGATTGTTGTCTGTTGTTGCTGTTGGTGTTGTCCAGGAATCTTCACCATCACCTCTGTTTTCTCTATGTTCACCTGATGGCCTATCTTCTCAGGAGGCTTCTTCTGCCAACTTGTTGCTTTTCGCTTGCATATCTTCCAGACATATATCATCGGCGAAGTCCAGATCCTCCAAGTTTTTTGTGTGAATCCATTTTATGCCTGTTTCCTGATTGCCCACTGTTTGTCGCATTATCCAGTTTACTACAATTAGGAAAATCATTGGCGATAGTAGGCAGCCAGCTTGTCTTACTCCTGTTTCTTCCCTAAAATCTCGTTCATTTATTTATTTTTCTTTATATTCTTTTCCTTTCGAATAAAAGGTTTGTCTACGCCTCATTCATCCTGATATCGAATCTATTGAATGGGATACAAAAGCAACAACAATAACAACAACAACAACTACTACAGCGAATGAAATCAACAACGCTTCATTCAATAATCTTGAAAATGATACAAAATCTTATGAAACTTGTATATTTCATCCATTACAAGTTCGTAAAGAAGCTCTTGTAACACTGCATCAATTTATTCCAAATTATGCCAATTTTCTACAGCCAAGTTTACCGCTTATCATGAAAGCGTTGATTTTCTGTATACAGGTTAGTTGTTTGTTTGTTGTGCTTAAGCAATTTCCTTGTCAAAATTTATATATTTTCTGTAGTTTGGTTTGTAAGGGTTACTTATGTTTTTACGAGTTGATCCCGGATTGATATCATTTAGAGAACTATTGAAAACCAGGGAGTACTGGACAGCTGCTGTTTCATCCTAGTTTGGGAATCATCGGAAGTATGCACCCACTGGGATTCGACCATTAGCATTAGAATCACGGTTTTAATAAAGGTAAGGATTAAGGTTATTTTTAGTGTTAGGGTCAGGATTAAGTTTATGGTTACGATTAGGGATAGATTAATAGTTGATGTTATTTATTTTAATTTTTTTATCATCCACGTTTTACTGGTAAGTAGTCGTCTATCCTCTTGCTGAAAACCATAATAATTCAACGGAGGGCTTTTTTGGAAGACTGCAAGCAGGATGAAAGGGATAAACGACTCACAAAAACAGTTTACCTTTAGTCATCTCGGTGAATACATGTACAGAAACTAGTCTAACTTAGCAACTGATACTCCTCGTTACATCTAGGACGTATTTTTAAGCCATGTCAAAGAAAGATAACCTGTTTAATGCGTTTTCAAGCATTCTCTTGTCAATATACATACATCATTTTTTGGGCAAACATTCCTCGTGCGTTCGCACTCCTGGGACGCTATTGTTGAACTTTGCCTTATATATATATATATATATATATATATATATATAATTTAATGGTGTATGAACCGGTAATTTTGTATGTATTCAAGTTATTTTGACAATGGGCATTAACTGTAATAGTCGATTGTTGTATTGCATTTTTCCTAGTCGAAATATTTACTTAGTTGACAGTGTAAACCCTAACGGAAGTCAGATGAAAGTCGTTAATTCGGGAAGGTATACGTGCTTCTTGGCATTCCGTTTTAAGGGTTTTTTTTTTATCGAATAGAGTATTTCATCGTTGATTGCTCTCATTGCGCACTGTAAAGCACATTTTTATCTCATTGTTCGTCTTTAGTTTTCTAATTTGTATCCACACACTTTTATATGAGTGTCTGTAAGTTGATTTGTTAATAAAATCAGTGGGTAGATTGTGGTTCACACCTGGAGTTGTAATTGCTTCAATCAGTAACTTGAAATTTTGACTGAGAAACTTTATAGTTTGACTTATGAAAATTAATCATGAGCTTGTACTGTTGAGGATTCGGCTAAATGAGTTTCGACGTAGGACTTTGCACAGATGTGCAGCAGTTCAAGTTACAACACTCCACATAGAACACAAACGTAGAAAGAATAAAAAATTCAAACTAACTATAGCGAACACAAACATACTGGAAAAAGAACAGTAACATGGGACAAAATATTGACTTAATGGATATAAGAAGTTACACAGAGGGAATGAATCTGCTCCACTGAGAATAGTTTTAAGCAGTGTTACCAACAGTCTCACGCCATTGGTTCTTAGTATCTCCAAGACCCCAATCAGCTTGGCAATTTATACGTCACCACGCTGGTGGCTCAGACCACCGGTGAAAAACGTCATGGACTTCATGAAAGATATCATCACTCACTGAGGGGTGCAGGTACATCTAGCTGACGAGTCTCAGATAGGGCGAAATGCGCATCCTGGATTCTGCTGCTAGTCACCACCCACCAATTAACTTCATGAACTGATTCCAGGTTTTGATTTGACCACCCTTACTGTTTTGTGACCTAATCCTCTATCAGCCGACACTGCTTGTCAAGGAAGGAAGTGGCTCGGAATGCGTTACGCGAGCCCTAGCCATCTCGATCTATGTAGTTTCACAACTTCATCGATTGACTGTCCCTCCTTGCCTGATAGTCAACCTCGCTCACCATATAATACCAGTTATTATGGAAGATAGAATGAAAACGTCTGTGGTCAAATACAGCTAGGCTCTTCAAGTTTCCCGCTTTCAACGGCCATGTCTCATAGCCATAAAGAGAGGCTTAGCGAATGGTTTATCAGCACACAGGGTCGTTTGATCGCCAGGTGGATATCACGTCTACGCCCAAGACTGTGGAAGTTGGCGAATGCCAAATGTGCCTTTAGTATCCGTGCCGAGATTTCGTCAGCAACTACTCCATTGGGGCGGATGCAACTTCCCAAATTAGCGAAGCTGTACATACTCTCAATTGACCGATTCTCTTTCTTCAAAAACTAGATGTTGCTACACACCAATCCTGTTGCATCTTTTTACACATGAGAGTAGAGAATCTCATCTCAAATATAGCAAGATTTCCGCTCAAGATGTTACGAGGACTCTGTATTTTGTCAGTATCTTGAACCTGGAGGACAAGATCGTACGCGTACTCTAAGTTGACAAAACTTTTCCCTAGTAAGTAGTTAATCCGTGAGTTGGTAAAGTCGACTATGGGCAATATCCACTAGTGTACAAGTGCGACAGTACTGGTTGGGCTGAAAATCATCTTAACTATAACCAACAACTGGTACACCACTTGTTCAATCTGTAAGTTATTGAAAACTCTTCACCGTTCTTTTCTGTAATAATATTAAAAATCAGTCAGTCAAAAACAACTCGTGACATTTAACCTCCCCCCCCCCACTTTTCATTTTTCTCTTTCAATTCAGGAGAAACAAGAAATTAATGCATTACGGACGTACAGTTTAAGATTCCTAACTACTCTGTTGCCATATTTAACTAGTTGTTGTTATGCCAACAATATTCCTTCACAGCATTTCGATGAGAATCAAAGCATGCCTAGAACAACAACAACAACAGAACCAAGCATCAATGCTAACTTACTGCTCAGTGAACAAATGACTAACATTCATTTAACAAAAGCAGATAATATTGAAGATCACAGTAATCAGATAGTGAACACTGCAGACTGTTCCAAGAATAATAACAATAATAATTATAACTTTCATAATAATAATAATAATACTAGTAATACTATTACTATTAATTCTAAATTACACATAGATGAGATACAAGTTATCTCATGGTGGCAAACATTTTTACCATTCATACTGAATATTCTTCAAGTGAGTTGATTATATATATTATTATTTATTTATTATTATTATTGTTTCCTTTAATTCCTAGAGGAACATAGGGCTTCAGCCGTGCGTCTCCATTGAGTTCGGTTCTCTGCTACAGTCTTCACCTGGCTCCATGTCTGCCCACACGTTTTCATCTCCTCTTCACATGACCTCCTCCAAGTCACCCTTGCACTGACGACCAACTCGCCGCTTCCCTTTCGAGTTCCACTCGAGCAATGGCTTCTCTAGTGATGTCACTTGATGGTTTCCTCAGAGTATGGCCAATCCATCTCCATTTCTTTCTGCCTATTTGTTTCACAATCGGTTCCTGTTTATTTCGCTCATTGCCAGAGATCCCTATTGCTGATCTTTTCTGGCCATCTGATCTAGAGCAGTGTTGAGCGAAGACAACTGTTAATGAAGGTTTGTAGTTTGTTTAGGGTGCTCTTCATGACGCGCCAAGTCTCTGATACGTATATTAGATTATACTGACTTCGCATTGGAGTTGAAAATCCGGATCTTATTTCTGATGCTGAGTGCTGTTGACCTCCACACATACTTGAGTAGTGAAATCTTGTCTTGCTTTTCCGATTCTTGCTTTCATATCCTCGTCAGTTCCGCCTGTAGTTGAGACGACGCTTCCCAGGTAGGTAAAAGAGGTTGTTTCTTTCAGGTTCCTCCCACTTATGCTGACCGTTGTCTGTTGTTGTTGTTCTTGTCCAGGAATTTTCATCACCTCTGTTTTCTCTATGTTCACCTGATGGCCTATGTTCTCTGGATGCTTCTAATGCCAACTTGTTGCTTTTCGCTTGCATATCTTCCAGTTTGTGGGAAATCAGACATATGTCATTGGCGAAGTCCAGATCCTCCAAGTTTTTTATGTGGGTCTATTTTATGCCTGTTTCCTCATTGCCCACTGTTTGTCGCATTATCCAGTCTACTGCAATCAGGAAAATCATTGGCGATAGTAGGCAGCCTTGTCTTACTCCTGTCCTTATATATATATATATATATATATATATAACTTTTTGTTAATGCATAATTCCCCTGATAAGCAGTTTTGATAAAACAAGAAAGATCAAATTTGCAGGGTGGAAAGAAAAGACACCATTTCACACTTTACAGGTTCTCATCAACTGAACACTATCTGAGATTACATTGGTTATTATCAAGGAATGAAAAGAAGAAATAACCTACTTCAATGTTGGAATGTGATTGGAGAATAAAAAATGTTATAAAATAAGGCAGCATCTTCAATGTATGTGCAGCATTTGTAAAGTAGAAAACAAGAGGAAGGTAGAAACCGGGAAAATGCTTGCTAAACAATCTTAGCTTGTAAGATGGTGGTTACATAACCAACTCAAGAAAATTATAGTTCATGAGATTGAATGTCACTCAGTGAGCTGAAATCACCAGTGTTGGGAATGATTATGCGATCACCCACACACACACCCGGTTTTCTACTTTCTCAAACTCTGCATTTTATAAAATGCTGATCACTTAAACTGAATAATTTAAAATGCTGACCTGTTTTTTCGATGCGTTAATTTATTAACAACATTTTTCAGCTCTATCACCCTCCAACATCAGCATTACTTTTTAGTCATTCGTTTGAATAGCCATTGTATTTTCAGGTAGTCAATCTTCAGATATTGAGAGTCTGTGAGATATAAATTGGCGTCATTTCATATTGAGAATTTGGTATTTCTTGTTTTATTAGCATATTATTTTTCTTAAAAATTAATTTGTATTGTTCAGTTAGGTGTCTTTGTTTCGAATTTACATTGTCAATGACCGTCATATACGACAGTTAAGTAAACAAGGTTGACCAAGTTGTTTTTATAGGAAATCAAGAGATATTTATAGATTTTTATGTACATTATTATTCGTTATTATTAGCAGAGAAACAGCTTCTTCTGATTGGTTGTTTTCCTGCTGAAAGTTATTCTGTTATCTCTTTGTGGCCATTTCTTTGAAGGTCAGACCGTATGCCTGCGAATCATATCCGCCCACGCAAAGTCTGATGTGATTGGTTGTTGAGTTAGTCTTTGACCTTGTTTTTTCTCATGACCAAGATTTGGGACGCAAAGATTGATGTAAATTGCTGTCTACCTATTTGGCTAGTACACGGCTCTCACTACAACAGTGCAACATACAATGACAGTAAAGTTTTTATCTACCTGTTTGAATATCTGGCAGTCACCCACTCACTGAGTGATATCTCTTGTTCGAATCCCTTTTTATGTTGTACAGTTACTTAGTTAGTTGCTCAATGGTATTCCACTTTTATAGAGTGGAAGGTACGCTTAGCTGATTATTTTCCACAATTGATTGATATAGTCATTTTTGAGCAATTCAGCGATTTCCTTGACTACGAATTTTAAATTATTTAACTATCTCGTTGTCATAAAATGAATGTGTAACTGTAAAGAGTGACACAATTTTGTTTTGCTTTCCTTCAATCTATCTATGCAATCCAAGTGAAATAAATACTCTTTCAAAAAACAACTTGGCGCAGTTGACGAGGTCAATTGGGCATTAATAATATATCGAAATGGATCACTATAGGTTGTGTGTGTGTAAATAACAAGTATAATCATATAATATGATATTCATTACAAACAATACCTGATTATAGGGTGCTTTGTTCATCGAACAACGCATGGAATGGCAATCAAACCTCTACCTCAACTTTATAGACTTTGAGAAGACCTTCGACAGCGTTCACCGCGAAGTAATTTGGAATTTACTCAAGTACTACGGCGCACCCCAAATATTTATCAACCTTATTCAACAGCTGTATGACAACGGCACATGTCAAGTAATCCACAATGGAAAACTCAGCGAGGCTTTTGGAGTAAACACAGGAGTCAGACAAGGGTGCTTATTATCATGAATGATATTCCTAATTGTGGTGGACTGGATTATGCGTCAGACAGTGGGAAACGAGAAGACAGGGATATCCTGCAACGACGTGAAGAACCTAGAAGACCTGGATTTCGCGCGTGGATGATTTATGTTTGAAGACGTACAAGCGAAAACCGACAAACTGGTCGAAGAAGCAGCAAAGACAGGACTCCGGGTGAAAAACATAGACAAGATGGAGGTTATAAAAATCCAGCCCCAATCACCATCAACGGGAGGGATTTGAAACAGGTTACTTCATTGACTTATCCAGGGAGCATTGTCTTAACTACAGGAGGAGCGAACGAGGATGTCAAATCTAGAATCGGGAAGGCGAGAAACACATTCATCAACCTGAAACCAATCTGGAAATCTTCGTCGCTCAGCATCAATAACAAAATTCGGATTTTCAACACAAACGTCAAGTCAGTCAGTTCTTTTATACGGATCAGAAACTTGGCGGGTCACAAAGAATATTTCCTACAGCCTGTTGCAGACCTTTATCAACAGCTGTCTTCGCTGGCTCTATACTGAAGATCAGATGGCCGCCAGAAAGAATCACCAACAAGAAACTATGGGAATAAACAAAACAAGAACCAATCGCCCAACAAATATGCAGCAGAAGGTGGAGATGGATTGGACACTCGCTGAGGAGGCCGCTGGGTGACATCGTGCGTCAAGCCATTGCTCGGGTGGAACTGGAAAGGGAGGCGGTGAGTGGGACTTCCAAGGGTGACATGGAGGAGATCGTGTGAAGAAGAGTTGAAACAGTATGGATTAACATGGATGCAGGTGAAAAGTACAGCAGAAGACAGAAGGAAGTGGAGACGTGTAGTTGAAGCTCTATGCTCCACTAGGAACCCAAGGGAACAATAATAATAATAGGGTGTTTTAAGTAGTTTGTTTATTCGATAAATTATTTTATCTGATTGAGAAAAATTACTACCACTCATCATATATTTGTTCATTATTATTTTTATTATTACTATTATTATTATTGCTATTAATACAATTATTGCTATCACTACCATAGAGAACGAAAGAAATAAGTCCAATGTATGATATTCTTCATACCTCATAGATAAACAGATAATAAAAGGGCCATTTTATTTGCATATATTGATTAGTACACAATTTTGTATACTATGTCTAATGTTTGTATGAAGTGAAACATTTGGTTGCTTAGCGACATTGTTTTGTCAACAGAATGAAATAGAGAAAAATGGTTTATTACAGTTTGTAGAATACTAGCAAAATGCAAATAACTAAGGCGGACTTTTCAATGTGAATGTGAGTCGTGTGGGTCGTCAATTTGTCAAGTAATAATCTTGAGATCAAAAGTGTTTTCAGAAAGCAAACAAAAAGATTTTCTGTTTTTTATCCCAAATATATTACATAATCTTGTTGGTTGATTGTGTAGCTAGTGTTATGTACGTCGCTATGACTATGTGTAAGTATAACGGAACTTACGGAAATCATTTTTTCCCACTGGTTGAACGTCGATTGGGTCAGGGATTCAAACCCCGCTTCACGTATTTATGTTTTATACAGGCAGGTGGTTTCTTTTATCCTGACACAATATATGTGTCATACAACCAACTGTATGGAATTACGAGTAATTACTGAGTAACGCTCACATTCACTTTATTGACTAACACAATTTTAAAGGATACATCTCTTACTTATTTTGATGACTTCACTAACAGTTTACTATGGAGTAAAAAAAATGGTTAGATGTTCCACCTTCAAAACACCGAAAAGCATTTCATTGAAGTGTGCTGATCAGTAAACGGACGTTATCCAATGTAACTACTGTCAGGTCTGGAGTGATGGTAACTCTGTCTTCCAACCATCCTGAGTTTGTGTGAGACTGGATAGCTACTGCACCTACTGCTGAACAGAAGCAAAGCCACTTTACACCTGGCCGCAGGAGTAATTATCTTATCTGCGGAAACATACGCATACTTACCGCCATCTAATTATTGCTATATTTCTTGACCTGAAGGTGGCATTCGAATCCGTCAGTCAAGAAGTAATGTAGCAATGTCTAGGCGTTAAGGGAGTTCCGAGAAAGTATATAACTCTAATTAGGAGGCACT